AAGGGGAAAACCTATTCTCATTTTTTTGGTACTGGCAAAGGAGGTCCCATGATGTTGAACTCTGATAGTGCTGTTCATTGCTGGCCGTGTGATGTTTTGGGCCTTTGGACCTGTGCCCAGCAACTGTGTAACAAACATACATGAAGCCAGCACCCCTTATATGGCCAAACATCCCCATGCGGGACCCTCCTGAGAAGAGTCCTGAGGCTCAATTTTTTTCTTCCCGGATTTAAAAATAAAAGGTCTCGGGCAAAGACCTTTCTTATTAGCACATGGAGAAGGGCCGTTGTCCGAAACGTCGCATACATTATCTATATTTAAACTTTTCAGGCGACAGGTGTTATTGACGAATGCGTTGAGTTATTTATTGTTCTGTTATTCGTGCGTGTGCACCACTGTCAATTGCAGGAGCATGGCCAAGTAATACTAATCTGGGTAAACAAAGGGCACGAGGGTCATGAGCCAATGCCATGTTGTTTTTGTTCCAACCAGCGTGCGTCCACAAACGCGAAGCAAAGCTCGGGGGCCTCTGACGAGTCCGCTGAGTCTGGTGACCGTGTATCTGGACCGCGCGTACACCGCTGGGATCCCACACAGGGCTTGACCCCGGGGTCAAGCCCTAAAGTCAACCAACGCACAAGAAACTTTGTCCCCGTGTGGGGGTTTCTTGAGGACACGCAGAAGTTAACCCCCCCCTCCCACACCATCCTTGGTCGTAAGTGCCTCACGTTCGCAATGTCACGCGTTTACGTCCCGCGGTCACCCCAGGCCATCGTCACCCCCCCCCTCCACCGGGGGGTTAGCAAAGTGAACGCCGCTCTGTGGGAGTCCGCCAGTTGGTCGTCCCATGGCCATATTGGTCCCCCCGGCATGGGCAATGTGGAATCTCTACCACTGAGGATCGCCATCGCTCCTGCTTTGGGGAGCATTGCAAATTCCCGTGTAATTCAGACCCGTTGTTGCGAGCTTGCGTGTACAAAAGACGGTAACAATGTTCCCTCTTTCCATCATCCCTCAGGGGTCGATCAAATAGGTACCACCTTCTGGGGAAATCAACAGTGGTTGTCCCACGGACAGACTCGCCCACCACCAAAGGAATGTGGAATGCACTCATGGCGCAGGCCTCTAAGCATGACATGAGCACTCATGGCGCAATGCTCATGTTGAGCAGCAGGACATCACTTTGACGTTTCGAACAACGATGAGAATTGTTTCCAGGGGAGCCTCGCAAAGTCTCAAGATCCCTCTTGAGGGGGGCCCTGTATTGGGACGATTGACCAACCCTAGTGTAAGTCGTGGTTTTGCGTAGGAAACCCGGCGTCACCAGGGAAGACCTGCGGCATCGGCTGAGACAATCCTCAACACAGCCACACAAAATGACCCCAAGGGCCCAATGGCAGCACTGCCATCAGCCGGGCGGCAGGCGAATGATGATCACCGTGATCCACCAACCACCTCCACGCTGCTGGACCACAGGCACGTGCCACCACTCGCACCATGCGGGGGTGACGAACCCACCCACGGAGATCGCCACACGAGCCTCTCTGGACAGGGGCCATGGCAATCGTTGGCCCTCAGCTCTGCTCTGGCGAGGAGGCAGCGTCACAATGAAGATGGTGGTGAGGCGATTGGGATCTGCGCTTGTAAATACATGGACCCCCCCCACCCCCATACAACCTGAACAGACTGTTGGGGACAAGTGCTGTTGACGAGCACCTATTAAGGCCGGCGCGGCACGCACCACTGCCAAGGCGCAACAGCGGCAACCACGTTGCTGTACTGCCACCTCCTGGTCACGTTGCAATGCATCAGCAGAGTTGGTCGTCCCGGCGCGGGGTCCGATCTGCCTGAGCGACGGTCCCCACGTGGGGAACCGGAGTCACCGCAGCTACCAGAGCTACCGCAGCTACCGGAGTCAGCACAGCTACCGCAGCTACCGGAGTTAACGCAGCTACCAGAGCTACTGCAGCTGCTGGAGCTACCGCAGCTACCGGAGTCACCGCAGCTACCAGAGCTACCGCAGCTACCGCAGCTACCAGAGCTATCGCAGCTATCAGAGCTACCGCAGCTACCGGAGTCACCACAGCTACCGCATTTACCGGAGTCACTGCAGATACTGCAGCTACCGGAGTCACCGCAGCTACCAGAGCCACCGCAGCTACCAGAGCTATCGCAGCTATCAGAGCTACCGCAGCTACCGGAGTCACCGCAGCTACCGGAGTCACCGCAGCTACTGCAGCTACCAGACTTACAGTAGCTACTGCAGCTACCGGAGCTATCGCAGCAACTGCAGCTACCGGAGTTACCACAGCTACCGCAGCTACCATAGCTACTGCAGCTACCAGAGTTAACGCAGCTACTACAGCTATCGCAGCTACTGCATCTACCGGAGTTAACGCAGCTACTGCAGCTACTGGAGCGCGCACCGTACAGAGTGCAGGGGAAACGTGGACGGGGTCTTGAGCATGGCTGGGTCCGAGTGGCGCGTTGGATTAGGGGAAGGGTTAGGATTAGGGGAAGGGTTAGGGTTAGGGGAAGGGTTAGGGTTAGGGAAGGGTTAGGGGAAGGGTTAGGGTTAGGGGAAGGGTTAGGGTTAGGGGAAGGGTTAGGGTTAGGGGAAGGGTTAGGGGAAGGGTTAGGGTTAGGGAAGGGTTAGGGTTAGGGGAAGGGTTAGGGTTAGGGGAAGGGTTAGGGTTAGGGAAGGGTTAGGGTTAGGGGAAGGGGAAGGGTTAGGGTTAGGGGAAGGGTTAGGGTTAGGGGAAGGGTTAGGGGAAGGGTTAGGGTAAGGGTTAGGGGAAGCGTTAGGGTTAGGGGAAGGGTTAGGGGAAGGGTTAGGGGAAGGGTTAGGGTTAGGGGAAGGGTTAGGGGAAGGGTTAGGGGAAGGGTTAGGGGTTAGGGTTAGGGGAAGGGTTAGGGTTAGGGGAAGGGTTAGGGGAAGGGGAAGGGTTAGGGGAAGGGTTATGGTTAGGGGATGATACTACTGGTGATGATTTTGTTGATGGTGCTGATGACACTACTGCTGATCATTATGTTGACGATACTGATGACACTACTGCTGATCATTATGTTGATGGTGCTGATGACATTACAGCTGATGATTATGTTGATGATGCTGATGATACTACTGCTGATGATTATGTTGATGCTGATGATGCTAGTGCTGATGATTATGTTGACGATGCTGATGATACTACTGCTGATCATTATGTTGACGATGCTGATGATACTACTGCTGATGATTATGTTGATGCTGATGATACTAGTGCTGATGATTATGGTGATGATGCTGATGATACTACTGCTGATCATTGTTGATGGTGCTGATGACACTACTGCTGATGATTATGTTGATGATGCTGATGACACTACTGCTGATGATTATGTTGATGCTGATGCTGCTGATGATTATGTTGATGATGCTGATGATACTAGTGCTGATGATTATGTTGATGATGCTCATGACACTACTTCTGATGATTATGTTGATGATGCTGATGACACTCCTGCTGATGATTATGTTGATGATGCTGCTGCTGATGATTATGTTGATGATACTAGTGCTGATGATTATGTTGACGATGCTGATGATACTACTGCTGATGATTATGTTGATGGTGCTGATGACACTACAGCTGATGATTATGTTGATGATGATTATGTTGATGATGCTGATGACACTACTGCTGATCATTATGTTGATGGTGCTGATGATACTACTGCTGATGATTTATGATGCTGATGATACTACTGCTGATCATTATGTTGATGGTGCTGATGTTACTAGTGCTGATGATTATGTTGATGATGCTGATGATACTACTACTGATGATTATGTTGATGATGCTGATGATACTACTGCTGATGATTATGTTGATGGTGCTGATGACACTACAGCTGATGATTATGTTGATGATGCTGATGATGCTGATGATATTACTGCTGATGATTACGTTGATGATGCTGATGACACTACTGCTGATGATTATGTTGATGGTGCTGATGATACTATTGCTGATGATTATGTTGATGATGCTGATGATACTAGTGCTGGTGATTATGTTGATGGTGCTGATGATTCTACTGCTGGTGATTATGTTGATGATGCTGATACTAGTGCTGATGATTATGTTGATGGTGCTGATGACACTCCTGCTGATGATAATGTTGACGATGCTGATGATACTACTGCTGATGATTATGTTGATGGTGCTGATGACACTACAGCTGATGATTGATGATGATGCTGATGATACTACTGCTGATGATTGATGATGATGGTGCTGATGACACTACTGCTGATGATTGATGATGGTGCTGATGATACTACTGCTGATGATTTATGATGATGCTGATGATACTAGTGGTGGTGATTATGTTGATGATGCTGATGACACTACAGCTGATGATTATGTTGATGATGATGATACTAGTGCTGATGATTATGTTGACGATGCTGATGATACTACTGCTGATGATTATGTTGATGGTGCTGATGACACTACACCTGATGATTATGTTGATGATGCTGATGATACTACTGCTGATGATTGATGATGATGCTGATGATACTACTGCTGATGATTGATGATGGTGCTGATGATTATGTTGATGATGCTGATGATACTGCTGCTGATGATTGATGATGATGCTGATGATACTAGTGCTGATGATTATGTTGATGGTGCTGATGACACTCCTGCTGATGATTATGTTGACGATGCTGATGATACTAGTGTTGATGATTATGTTAATGATGCTGATGATACTACTGCTGATGATTGATGCTGATGATACTAGTGCTGATGATTGATGATGATGCTCATGACACTACTGCTGATGATTATGTTGATGGTGCTGATGATACTACTGCTGATTGATGATGGTGCTGATGATACTAGTGCTGATGACACTACTGCTGATGATTGATGATGGTGCTGATGATACTAGTGCTGATGATTGATGATGGTGCTGATGATTGATGATGGTGCTGCTGCTGCTACCGGCTGTGCCGCTCCCGCGTGCCGTGGAGCTCGGCGCGCAGGCGCTGCAGCTCGCACGCGAAGTGCCGCCGCTCGTCCTCGTGGCGCGCCGCGCCGCGGCCCCGCCGCTGCCGCTCGCCGTCCACGGCGCCCGCCAGCTCCACGCAGCGCTGACGCAGGGCCCTGGTGCACGCAGCCACGACGACAAGCACAAGGATCCCCCACCGCCTGGCGTACGCGCGCTGTCGGGGCCAGGGCCTGTCACTGCCATCACAAGGGGGGCCGGTGTGGCTGACACCACGCCTGGTGGTGCGGTGAATATATATGTAGTGGAGTAAACAATACGCATAGGAATTGGCCATATACAGTACATACAGACAGACAAGGAGAACGGGTCACATGAGGTCGAACAGGTGGTCGAGTCGCGGGTGGCGTAAACAACCCGAAGTAATTAAGGGAGTCGTGGCACGAGGGCTGTGATTGGTCGAGAGGCTGTTAGTGTTAAGTGGTGGCGTCTGGATGTCTGATGGAGGGGACAGGTGCGAGCTGGCGGAAAACGGCCAGCGAGCCACGTGGCAATTAATTAAGGCTAATGCGAAAGGGGATAAAATGCGAGGTAGTTTTGAACGGAGTGGAGTTGCGGCTGGGGAGTTGTTGTTGGAGAGTTGTTGCTGGGCAGTTGTTGGCGAGAGGTGGAGAGATACGAAGAAGACAGCTGGAATGTTAGGGAAGAATAGATAGGGAGCCGGACCCCAAAGACAGTAAATAGCGATAGGGAGAGTCAGCGTTAGCGGAGATAGATGGAGTCACTGTGTGTGAATAGATAGATGGAGTCACTGTGTGAATAGACAGACAGGATACTGTGTGTGAATAGATAGAAGAAGAACCACTGTGTGTGGAAGGGAAGTCACTGCGTGTGAAGAGATAGCGGCAATACTGTGTGTGTGAGGAGATAGAAGACGAACCACTGTGTGTGGAAGAAAAGTCACTGCGTGTGAAGAGATAGCGGCGATACTGTGTGTGAGGGGATAGAAGACGAACCACTGTGTGTGGAAGGGAAGACACTGTGTGTGAAGAGAGAGAAGAAGGAACACTGTGTGTGGAAGGGGATGCACGGACGATGCTGAAGTAAATCAGAGTGTCCGAGTTGGCGGAGCACGGAGAGAATTACTGTGTGTACGGAACGATGGAATAAAAGTGACGGCGGAAAAAGAGATGGTTGTTGTCCGAGTGAATTCACGGCACTACATTTGGTGTCAGAAAAAGTACGGAACATGCCACGATGTCAAGGAAAGCGGCAAAGAAAATAAATGTGCTAGTGGACTCGGGCGGCGACAGCGACAATGACGATTTGCAGCCCGGCCAGATGGCCGGCAGTACTCCGGACGGTGACAGCGGTTCGGGTGGTGCTGAAGGCCCGGGATCACCAGAGGATTGGCGAGTCCTCATGACCCAGTGGGAGGCCAGAATGAAGAAGTTGTCGGAGGAATTCCAGAACTTCTTGACGGAGAACCGCATTCAACTACCCATACCGGGTCCACCGCCGGAGGTTGCCGCTCAGCCGGAGCGGTTGGAAGATTCTGACGACGAAGACGACCAGTCGGAGGGACCGCCACGACGGCTACACGTACAATGATTTGAGGCCAAAGTGGGAGATTGGACGGCATTCATACGAAGATTCCGTGCGGCTTACAAGTCCCTGAATTGGACGGAGAGTGCCGCGTTACGAGCACTGCCAACAGCATTGGATGATGACTCCCTGGCGACTTTTAACGGACTCCCTGCCGCTGTCAGAAAAACATTGGACGGTGTTATTGCGGCAATGAGGAAGGTCTATGAGCCGCGGTCGGTCGCCAAACGTCGATTTCAACAGAGGAAACGGGAGGCCACGGAGTCCCCCCTGGCATTTCGCAGCGCCTTGCTGGCCCTCGCCCAGGTTGCGTACCCGGCGATGGACGAGGAGGGCTGGGACTCCCTGCTGCAAGAGAAGATGTTACAGCTGGCGAAGGAACTGAAAGTCGTCTTGTCGCTCCCGGACAAGGATGATGACGACGACGTGTCATCGTTGCTGATCGCCAGGAACATACAAGTCAACCTTGATATACGAGACGAACCAGCGGCGGCGGTAGCGCAGCCGTCGCTGACGACCCCTGCCGGGGCTGCGAGCATGGTGGTGGTGGTGGTGGACGAGGCGCCGCCGATGCCAGCGGCGGCCGGAGTGTCGACCGGAGACCGACGGCGTCGTCCCGGGGCATATGGAGACGGCGTGCATCGGACATGCTATGGGTGCGGGCGGAGGGGTCATCTCGCCCGCGACTGCTGGAGACGAAGAGGTGGTCCTCCGTGGGTGCCGAACAACTACGGCGGGCGGTTCCCCCAAGACCAAGGATCCCGGGTGAGTCGAGATGCATTCAATACACGGCCGCCCTATCCACATCACTCATCCATGTCATCTCAACCGTATTCATCGGGTTCGGAGAGTACTCATGGCCGGGATATGTGGGGCGCGTTGGTACATCGTGTGTTGGGGGCCGCGCCGGGATCGTCGGATGTGATGGCATGTATTCAAGGTGTTATGGTATGGGTTATTGTGGATACCGGGGCATCGGCAACTCTCATTTCGTTGCAAACTTTTCGGTCGCTGCCGACGTCGCCTGGATCGTTAGCGCCAGTGGAAGGGCCATGTGTAGCGGCAAACGGGGGTAGTTTGGGCATTATGGGCTGCGTGGTTGCGACAATTCAAATTGGGGAGGTTATTGTGACAGGAAGTGTTTTGGGTTTCAACGGCCTTGGCGGTACCGTGTTTGTTGGGCACGGATTTTTTACAAAAGATGCCAATTCAGATTTCAGTGGAAAAAGGTTGTTTGGAATTACCGTCGGGGAAATGTATGAAATTTTTGGGGACGCCTTCGAAATTTGCGGTGGCGAATGCTGTGGTGCAGGCCATGGTGAGCCGCACCGTACGCGTTCCGCCTGCATCGCAAATATTGGTACCGCTACGGTTAAAGAAGGAATTGCCTTGGGATGAGCTACAGGAGGGAGTGCTGTTGACACCCTCAAATGCTGTGTCGAGAATGCCCACCGTGGTAGGAGCTATGACCATAATACCAACTTATTGTGATCCCTTCATTCAAATTGTAAACGCGGGGCACGAAGAGGTTGTTATTCAAGGGGGCACTACGTTGGCGCACGCAACGGGTGCGCCGGGTCCAGAAGCAAAAACATGTTTTGCTATGGGGCAGGATGAAATGTTGTCGAGGGAGGAGGATGATCCGTAATGGTTAAGGGATCTTTACAAACAAAACCCAGAGTTATCGCCTGTGCAACGGTCGAGTTTGCATGCGTTGCTAGTGGAATTTAAGGATGTGTTCAGTTCAGGGAAATACGACGTGGGTCGAACGACGTTGTTGCAGCATCGTATTGACACGGGGAACGCACCCCCGATCAGGTTAAATTCGCATCGTGTAGGTCCTCTTGAGAAAGAATGTATTTGGCGATCTGTTGATGAAATGCTAGAGCGGGATATTATCGCCCCATCGTCCAGCCCATGGGGAGCCCCTATTGTCCTCGTTAAAAAAACGTGACGGAACCATGCGATTTTGTGTTGACTATCGGAAATTGAATAAAGTTTCGGTGGCGGAAGCATACCCGCTTCCACGAATTGATGATTCGCTGGACGCCCCGTCCGGCGCCAGAATCTTTTCGACCCTCGATTTGTTGTCGGGCTTTTGGCAATTGCCCCTGGATAAAGAGTCAAGACCTAAAACGGCATTTCGGACACCACAAGGATTGTATCAATATAACGTGCTCCCGATGGGACTCCACTCAGCGCCGGCGACCTTCCAGCGATTAATGGAACTCGTGTTGTCGGGCCTGCAGTGGGAGTCATGCTTGATATATTTAGATGATGTGATTGTTTTGAGTAGGAATTTCGATGAACATTTGCAACGGCTGCGCGCCGTTTTTGGCAGAGTGCGGCGCGCTGGATTGAAATTGAAACCACAGAAGTGCCAATTGTTGAGAACATCGGTGAAGTTTTTGGGGCACATCGTTAGTGCGTCAGGAGTGGCCACTGATCCGGAAAAGACAAGTTGTGTGCATACATGGCCAGTGCCGAAAACAGCAGGGGAAGTGCGTAGCTTTGTGGGCTTTGCGTCGTATTATCAGCGGTTCGTTAAGGATTTTGCCACGATTGCTCGACCATTGCATACGCTGACCGGGAAAGGTGTAAAGTTTCAATGGGGGATTGCTGAACAAAAATCTTTGAAACGTTGCGGGCCGCACTGGCGGACGCACCGCCGTTGGGATACCCGGATTTTACGAAGCAATTTATACTTGACACGGATGCCTGTGATACGGGCATAGGCGCGATTTTGTCACAAATGGTTGATGGCGTCGAGAGAGTGGTGGCATATGGCAGCCGGGTGTTATCGCCGGTGGAGCAAAAATACTGTGTGACGCGTAGGGAATTATTGGCGATTGTCCATTTTGTGCGCCAGTACCGACCGTATCTATACGGCAGGGAATTTTTTATCCGCACTGATCATGCGGCGCTACAGTACTCGCTGCACGTGGATCAGCCGTCGGGGCAAATGGCTCGCTGGATTGAGACCCTCCAGGAGTACTCTTTCACGATCCAGCATAGGAAAGGGACGCACCATGTAAACGCTGATGCTTTGTCGAGGTTGCCGCGACCGGCTGAGACGTGTCGGTGCAAATAGGGCTCGCTGCGTTGCGGCCCGCCGCTGCAGGAGGTTCTGCAAACGGTCGCTGCAGCGGGTTCGGGGGTACCAGGGATAATCCCTGGAGCAGAAATTGGACTGTTGGGGTTGTCATTGAAGCAGTGGAAGCAACTGCAGGTGGAAGATTCCTCGCTGACCAGGATGAGGCTGCGTGCCTCTCGTTCAAGGGGATCGGAGGATCGCCCATTTTTGATGTTAACGGAGGGGTTGCTTGTTCGCTGGGATGTGGAAGCACAAAAATTTTGTATTGTTGTCCCGAAGGTGTTGCGGGGGAAACTGATTAACGAGGGACATGAGAAATTGCTGCATGTGGGGGAGAAGAAGACCACGTTGACGGTGGGGAGTGAATTTTACTGGCCGGGAATGTTTAATGATGTGAAACAGCATGTAAAAGCGTGCCAGGAATGTGCACGGAGGAAAGCGCCGGCATGGCCATATCGT